ACTTTTAATTACGAATAAAGAAACTAGTAATTCAAAAATATGCAAAAAAATAATCGTAAATCATATACGAAAATATAAAAGTTAATGTATAAGTTGGACAGTCCCTGTCCAAATAGTTTTATCTTCTGTCTACTTGGGCCAAGACCATATTTGTCTGCAGAGCATATGGACTGGACCATATATAGCCCATAAAAAATATTGTCCACACGGGCATACCCAATTGGTCGCGGGCAAGCCCAATTGACAGCTCTACTTGCAAACACCGTTTTTTCTCTATCGAAATCTATAAGCTGCTGTTCGGACAGTGATACCAGGTTGCCACCAACAATCTTTATCAACCCTTCCATCGCTGCAGTCGTCGAGAAACGCCTAACAACCTCCGGCACATATATACATTTTGATTTATAGTTCATTTTGATACTAAACGTCTACATAACCCTAGACCAAGTTTCTTGTATTACCACTATGTCCTTACACCTTTGGTCAGTATTGTTATAGTCTCGTATGCATAAAATACAGCCAAAATGTCTGAAATAATTTTACAACACACAAGCAAATGCGTAAAAAACATGCCATGGTTTCTTTTGGAATGCACCTAGAGAAACCAAATCCTAACTTGTTGCACAACGTGAGACCAACGATTCCATTCGCTGTTTTTTTGGGGTGGGGGGAATGCTTATTCTAAATATTGTTAGTTTTAAGAACATATTGACCAATTTTTTTGTTTATTGGCTTGGAAACCGGATCTGCAAATCGCTGGCTTGGGATGGATAATCAAAAATCGAACACCGAATCGTAGCCCATGGGTCAAGGATCGAGCATCGAATAGGCTTACCATTGATGACAGAAGCTACGGCGATGAAAGAAGCTTTTAAACAAGCATCGGTGAGGAACCTTTACCGGCTTCACAATGGCATCAGACTCCTGACAACTAGTCAATCTAATAAAAGCCGAGAAATTTCAACTAGAGATCTATGGAATTATGTAGGATATACTGAAGATCGCGAGAGCCTTAGAGATTTCCTTTATTTTTGTACACAGATCTGATAACGGAAAGGTTGATTCTATGGCAAAATCAGCTCTCAATGCTGTACCAATCAACCCGGTTTTCTATCCGGTTTAATGAAATGAAAACAAACCTTTGACCGAAAAAACAAATTGACCGAATTTTTTATTACCGTATTGTTTTGCCTGCAATCAACATATTGTATATGTGGTCATGTTTTGTTTATCTAACATGTCCATGTTTTGTTTATTAGAC